TGAACAAAATTATCGCACCACTGCTTATGGTGATGCTTATGTGCAGTGGTGCGATAATTTTGTCCAGGAGTATATATTCATATTTAAGGGCGGGTATTATAAAACTGCTTCGACAGTTAACTTGAAGTTAACTTTTTGAATTACATGTAATTCCAGAAGTTAACTTTAAGTTAACTCTAAAAGTAGTTTTATAATACCCGCCCTAAAAGTAGCAAGAGGTAGGGCACAAAATGGCGGCGGGAGCTCTATTGTCGCCACTGTAGATAAGGCTTATTTAGTTACTGTTCCTAAGATGTTAGAAAAAACGATCCTTTATTCAGAATAACTGAAGCTACATCCTCAATAGCGGGCCGATTCTCAGGCCAGGGAGTAGAGCTCCCCGAGAGAACGGATGTTTTATCCTTGTCAACGTTATCGAAAAGTAAACGAGAATGATAAAGATGAAAAATTTGTTCTCTCGGGGAGCTCTACTCCCTGAAACGAGAATCGGGCTGCTGGTAGCGAAGTGGTCTTCGGCATGCGTGCTGAGAAATTGATACCCATCCTCAATGCTGTCAATTTTCAGTGTGCGTGTAGTACGGTCACGAACCGTGCGTTCAGTATTTTGATCTGAGTTCTCCGAGCATAAATTTATCGTTCGTTTATTTAAAAAGTGTACTCGGTGCAGGCTCATTCATGTTCGATTATTAAAACTTTGAGCCTTCTGATACAGCGATCAACTGCTCTGTGTGCTCGTTGGTCACGTGATTACAGCTCCGCTCTGCAAGCTCTGCTCTTCGAGCAAAATACCGAACGCAAGGATAACCTCAGCTGCTTTCCAGTATGCACATTGGCGCGCTCTGGCGCGCTCTAGAGCACCTCGGGGGCGCCACGCACTAGATTTGTTCCCTTCCAGTATCATGGCGTGAGACGCCCGTCTTAGTGTCAAATATGTCAATTTTATTAAAAAAAATAATAATTATTTGTGTGTGCAGGTTTGTTTTTTTACTTATCAAAAATGAAAGAGAATCAAAACTATATTTTGAAAATGTACAATACCGAGATATCGGGTCTTCAAAAAAAAAACCAATCGAAGATTGCTCAGGGGCCTTATTCTGTAAGGAACGAATCGTTCGATTCGGTAGAATTTCTTCGATTGTGCCGTCCTTTTCGGTTTGGTAGCGCGAAAACCAAACCAAAAATGACGTCACAATCGAAGAAATTCTACCGAATCGAATGGTTCATTCCTTACAGAATAAAGAAAGGGCCGGTATCGTTGTCGAGTCGTGTGCCGAATCGTGATTTTAGAATCTCGGCCCTGATTAGTAGAGGTGGGTTGCGATTTCACGAACTGTGACTTTGTCACTGCTACTTGTCTGTCACAGTCACAGCCTGCTCCAGTCCCAGTCAAGTAGCAGTAACATTTTGTCACTGCCCGCTTAAAGCTCCGACCGATGCAGCGCGGACAAAACTGGAGCTGTGATGCAAATTGAATAATATAATGTTATAAATCGCATCGCGGTCACGCTAAATAGAAACTGTTACTGCAGAGGGCAGGCTAGAAACTGGAACATCTCTCCCGGCCGTGACTGCGGACTGCGATTATGCCATATTGCGATGTAGCATTAACATAATATTAGCAGTACGGCCGCCAACTAAGGTAAAACTGCTCCAAAAAATCACTGCTATTTGTCACAGTGACACGACTGGAGCAGTCACGTCTTGTCACTGCTCCATTAAAATCGCAGGTTGGCCCACCTCTACTGATTAGGAAAACCTACGTCGTATTACTGTTTCTTTAGAGAGATTTTGAGCCACATAAATTTTGAAATACGTTACACGCTAAACGATAAACCGAGCAAGCGCAGTCTTTGAAAAATAGCGGATGACATTTAGCCTTTTTTTTAGTTTTTGAAGCCAAAACTTGTGAAGGACGTTATACGCTAAACGTTAATGAAAATTTGTGGTTAGGAATTTGAATTTGTGTAACTAGCGTCAAATTTTATGTTGTCTGTTGTTTTTGTTAGGACGGTTGGGTATTTAATTAATTAATGTAATTAGTATGTACTGCACTTCATGAATAACATTGAAAATATAAGACGTCGAAATGCTGAAACGTTATCGGTTAATAACGTTCCGTTTATTTCCACATAATTTAGCGTAGTACGTTACCGCTTATTAGAAAGTTCTCGTGCGTCAGACGCTACGCTAATACGGTACTGCTAACAATACGGTATTTCACATGGTATTTTATAGTTCTCAGGCACGAAGACACATAAATCCTCTAATCCCTTATTCTGTTTACATTTTGACAGCTGAGTTGAGTAATTTAACCCCACTTCTTTTGCTTGTTTTCTAACTTTTATTTATTTTGAAGATTCCTGAGCTTGATTAATTTTCCCTTGGTGTTTTTTATGGAGGAATTATTAGAAGTTGCGGTTTTTGCAGACATAAATGGAGCGTAAACTAGTTTTGACATAGCATAGCGTTACGGTAAGGCATCCGGTAAGTTCCGTTAGATAGCGGGCTCCGCTAACGCTAATACCGTAAAAACTGTCATACTTGTCAAATAGCGTTACGGTATTTGAAATTTGGACGGCACGAGAACTCTCTATTAAGCGGGCCGGTTATTTTTTCACTATTGCGCATGAGCAAAATAACTGATAACGTATAACGTTAACGGCTTAAGCCTAGTACTCATAACTGCGAAATTCGCATTTTTTTGACATTGCTTCGGCAATTTGACGTTTGATACACGCATATAACGTCAGATTGTCAACGCAATGTCAAAAAAATGCGGATTTCGCAGTTATGAGTACTAGGCTTTAGGGTGGATTTTCATGCATCCGTTTGTCCGACGAAAGATGTCCGAAAAACATTCTATTCTGACATAATCGTATAAAATTATGTCAAAATAGAAGATTTTTCGGACATATTTCGTCGGACAAACGGATGCATGAAAATCAACCCTTAGTTCAGCCACACAGGAGGAACTTTATTCTCGAAATGGGAGCAGCGTTCTCATTGGAACGAATAAGGTTCTGTCTTTGTAGGGTTGCCAGATTTTGAAAATTTTAAAGCAGGAGGTAGTGCAAGGAAGGGAAAAATAATGATGTTTCGCCGCTGACACACATTTTTTTTTGGGGTTCCACGCCCTAATTCTGCCACATTTTATCATATATTATAATACAAGAGAAAGAGTATATTTCCTAACTAGTGCAGAAAAGTGGCACTACCCGCATGAACTAAAAACACTATTTTTCCTACCAGATAAAAGATTTGTACTTATAATACTTATATAAACCCATCAATTTTGGTTATTTTGACTTTTCCGCACTTAGGTCGTATGGAAAAGTAATGTTTTGATGACCTGAAATACGTGGGAAAAAGTGGGGTTTCACGCACGCTCGTAGAAAAAAATTCTGTCGGCAAAATTTTCGGCTGGTATGAAAGTTTGTTGCTTGGCAATTTCGCGAATCACCTTGGCGCACTAATTTTCCAATAGAAACATAAATAAAGTGGAGTGTAGTAGAGAGTGCAGCTCAAAGACACAGCAGAGAATCTCAAAGCTCAAACTCTCTATACAATCTTATAGTCGATGTCACAATCAGACGCCCGATCCAGTTAGATACGCTCTCAGGCTTAGGGCCGAATTTATAGTCGCTCCTTGAGGTTTCCTCAGACCTTAAGGAAGCCTTGAACGTTTAGAATTGTCATAACTAATTTGTCAAATAGTAGCAATGGTCCATTCTTAACTCACGACCACCAAGGAAGAGTCAAGGAACGACTATAAATTCGGCCCTTAAGTAGTTCTATCTTCGTTTGGAGTTTTAAATAGAAAAGGATGCAAATAATATTATGACAGCGCGCCCGCCGCCAACGACCAACGTTAATCGTAATGCGCTCCGGATGCGCTGTGTAGCCGGATTTATAATGAACCATTAAAATAATGGTAAAAATAAATAAGGACACCTAATTTATAGTTATTTACATTCCAAGCTGCGAAAGCGTACTTTTAGGTGCGTCCGAGCGCTTAAAAGGGCTTTTGCCGCGTGTAATGTATTAAACTTTTCATTCTTCCCCTCCAAAAATCGTGAATAGGCATGCCAAAGTGAAACATGCTAGTAGCGAAAGCGAAAGTGAAAGTAACTACTAGCATGTTTCACTTTCGCTTTCGCTCGCCTATGCAAGAGCCGCTTTCCAGTATGCACATTGGCGCGCTCTGGCGCGCTCCAGAGCACCTCGGGGGCGCTACGCACTAGATTTGTACCGTTCCAGTATCATGGCGTGAGACGCCTGTCTTAGTGTCAAATATGTCAAATTTTAAAAATAATTATCTGTTTGTTTGTGCAGTTTGTTTTTTTATTTATCAAAAATGAAAGAGAATGAAAACTATCTATTTTAAAATGTTCAATCTTGAGATATAACAAGAAATAAATAGATAAATAGCCACCCACAGATGTGACAGCTGATAGGTTGACGCGTACGTACAGCTCGGGGGCTCAACGCCCCGAGTAGCTCCGGGCGTCACACTCCCATACTGGAAAGCGGCTAAGATAAAAAAATCTACTTTCGTAGGGGGGAGAATGAAAAAATTATTATTTCATGTAATTTCTATTTTAGGGAAAAGCGGGAGTTTTGTTCAAGTGCGCGGGAGGCGGGAGGTTTAGTAAAAAAGCGGGAGACTCCCCCCTAAATCGGGAGGGTTGGCAACCCTATGTCTTTAGCCGCTTTCCAGCTGCCGCTTTTGAGCACGCAATCGAGCTTTTACGCGCGCAAATGCTTCAAGCGCGTGTTCGTGTTCCAGCCGTACTGCACTTCGATAGCTGCTAACTTTTGCGTTTCAAACACAGAACACTATCTGCACCGTGCTTGAAGCACACAGCTGGAAAGCGGATTTTGTCGTCCGGCATTCACTTACATGACAGAGCAATCGTTCTTATGAGAACGCTGTACCTTGGTCTCGAGAATAAAGTCCCTGCTGAGTGACTGAGTTTAGCCGCTGGGACTATATGAGCTGGGTTCGGCTATTCAGCGCGGAGTTGGAGTGGAGTGAACAGAGCTAATGGAGTCACCCGTAATACGGTAAAAAGCAATACCCGAACCTTAACCCGAACGGCTGGAGTGCGAATGGAGTCACTCGGAGTGCACGGAGTGAGCAAGCCGAACCCACTATGGCTGGGACCGCCTATGTACAAATGATCAGCTGATCGTCAACTTGTGAAACTGACACTTTCTTCTGTTGGCCAAAAAACTGAGGTTAGTTGACCGTCGCCAGCAAAACATGTCAGACGAAAAGCAAAGAAAAGAAATAATTAGCATTTTATTTCTATGTGTAGCATGGTACATAGTCAGCTCAACAAACAATGTCATCGGGAAAACTGTGCTCACACAATTTCCGTATCCCATGACCATGACAATGGTCCAGTTGCTCACTATAACCGTTTTAAGCGGGCCTCTGTTCAACTTGTGGGGCATCAGGAAACACGTCGATATATCCTGGAAGTACTACTTTCAGTTAATAGTTCCTTTGGCTCTGGGTAAATTCATTGCTAGTGTTTTCAGTCATGTTAGTATTTGGAAAGTGCCTGTTTCTTATGCACATACAGGTAGGTCCCATATGTTTACATTTTTAAAGCTTAGTTGCTCATTAGGTACCTTAACTACTTATGAAATAAATAAGTTGCATATTACTACAATAGAGAAAACTACTAGTTTAAAATATCCATATATTGTAGAATATCCGAGAGAATATCCGTTGCTCGCAACAAAAAATGTACAATCGACCAGTTCCTTACTTGGCAATAATTATTTTAAAATCACCCTTAGGGGTTAGGGGAGTGCATCAAGGCTCAGGTCTTTAGTTGCTCTCCAATATTCTATAAAAATTTAAAAACAAAGAGAATCCTATCCTATTATTAAGTATACCTAATTAAAGTAGGTTATCACAGACCAGCAGTATGTATCTCCCACCCACCAGCTTCAGTGTTTGGGCATTTTGAAATTTTCTTCTATAGGTGAGGAGGGGTGGAGAGATTAATGATATAGACGAGGATATTGACTAAATACCGAGATTATTACCCATCTCGGCATCCAGCCTCTGCCATCACTACACCTAATATTTGTATCAACCTCCTGGATTTTGATTATCAAAGGTTTTTCAAATTTCAGAGCGTCTTAGTTCAGCCAGAAGAGACCCGTTTCATCTAAAGGCTTATAACTTTTAAATCGGATGGGTGTTTTTCTAGGGGTTCACATGATAATAATTTTGAAAGTTATGCAGGGAAAATTCTTCTTTTTTCAATCTCGAGTTCAATCTCTTAGTTCTCAACTGCATATTTCAGATGGAATACCTTATAGATGTAGTTTTATGCATACTGTGATTCAAAAATATGAAACTATTTCATGATTTATATTGCTAGGACAATAAATGAAATTTAATATTTAGTGGCTAAAGCTTATTTATACTCACTATCCATGTAAGACAAAAGAGATAGGGAGCTTTCCTAGGTAGTACGAAAACTAACTTGAAAAACCCGAGGAAAAACCTGCACAGTAATAAATATAAACTCATCAGGGTTTCACAAGTTTGCGAAATAAGGGATTTTGGTATCTGAATAATTTGACTGTAGTATTTCTACACTTCAAAATAACCCTAGTGCTCTTGTAAGTAATGAAGTTTTTTTTTTCAGTTAAAGCCACAATGCCTCTATTCACAGTTATACTATCAAGGGTGATTATGGGTGAAAAACAAACTTTCAAAGTCTACATGAGCTTAATTCCAATAATAACTGGCGTCGCGATTGCAACTCTGACTGAAATTAGTTTTGACATGGTGGGATTAGTAAGTGCTCTAGTTTCCACAGCTGGATTCTCTTTGCAACATATATTTTCAAAAAAGGTAAACAATCTGTTTATTCAGAAAATTTTTATTGAATTATTGATGAAATTGTTTTTGATTGATACAATTTCATTAAAGGTTTTAAAAGACACAAGCGTCCACCATTTGAGGCTGTTACATATCCTAGGAAGACTTGCTCTATTTATGTTCCTACCCATATGGCTGTATGCAGACTTTTTAAGTTTAATTCACGACAAAACTTTGGTAAAATTTGTTTTGATTTCATAAGCAATATCTTAATATTACATTGAATAATCTATTCTAGGTTTATCAAGACTACAGGGTGACCTCACTGTTATTCCTGGACGGAGTGTTAAATTTTCTACAAAATATCATAGCTTTTAGTGTACTTAATTTGGTGACACCTCTAACGTACGCTGTGGCCAATTGTAGCAAGAGAATTTTCGTTATCGGGCTGTCCTTGTTTATTTTAGGTAATCCTGTCACTTCAATGAATGTAGTCGGAATGTTGGTGGCTATATTTGGGGTGCTTTACTATAATAAGGTACGAATCCATATTCATCTATTATTATTAGGTCTTTATTTAGCATGTAGGGCTAATTTACAAAACATAGAGCACATAATAATATAATATTCATATACAACTATAAATTGCACAGTGTATGTATACACTAGGACAACAAAATGCTGCTTATTGTCAAATATCACTCCATGATAGTCACAACTATTCAACCAGAAAAAGAATCAATTTTTATATCACAAAAAAAAATGAGTGGGAGAGGAGAAGGATTTCAAAATTCATTTGCAATTCAAAAATATGTTTCCACATATTGAACAACCAAACTATTATCGCATAAAAAAACTATGAAAATTGTAGAAGCAAGCAAAAATTTGATGACTTGTGTTGTTCAATGCTCATTTATAATATTTTTTCTAGGCTAAACACGATCAAAAACAGGACCAGCAGAAGGAAACGCTTCTGCCCTACGCCCAAAATAACTGGCAACCGGAAAAAACCCCTTATTCTCAAAGCGGTAAACAATATTCAAATGGGTATGCTAATGGCAGTATTAATATTACTAATGGTGATTTGAACGGTTTCAATAACAATTACAGTTATAATTCAAGGACTATACGTTCGAAAGGAAATTTGCTGTTTTCTTAAGATTGTTTAGATAGAAAATAGGAAATTAGGTACCTACTGCCAATTTTGTTGATTAATGCTTAAGGTTATTTTTTGTATTAGCCCAAAGAAACAGGAATTTTCAGATTGAGCTGGATATCTGCAATATTCTTGTAATGATTTGATAGGTACTTATTTTATGTTTTTAGAAATTTTAACATTCTTTTACTTTGTTATTAAGTGCAGTAATTTTGAATGTTATCCAGCTGGGTTGTTGCTGCAAATTGTAGCTCTATTTATTATATGCTTATGTGATTTGTGATATCTTATAGCCAGGGATATTATTTTTGGTACAAAGCAATTCTAGGAATTTGTAGAAATTTTATCTCTGTGGGTTTTTATATATTTTTGTATAAAAAACAAACCTTCAAATGTTGTATAGGTACTTAAATGATGTTGGATTTGGCCATGTCCAATATAATCCCGGATTTGATTCTGCTGGTGTAGGCACCATGGTAGAATGGTTTGGGTATGAATTGTGGCCATTTCAGGGTAATTTTTAGTCAAAAAAGAGACGGTTGGTTTGGCAATAGGGACAGTCGTTTTGGGTGTAAACGGATTCTAAATCTTCGATGCATTTTTCAGAATAGTCAGACGATTTTCATTTTAAAAATGCTCGACAATGTTTATATCTTGTGAAAGATAAAAGTGATCTATGGGTATCTCTGAAGGCTGCTTTAAAGTTCGCTCTACATGCCTGTCATGAAACTTCTAGCCTTAAGCCTAGGTAGCGCCTCAGAGTTATCTCAAAGCTCTTTTCTGCAAACAAAAAACTAAATAGACCTTGCTAACCAAATCCCATAAAGCAAATGCCATACCTTAGATAAGCCTATCTAATAGCTACGGTCTGATACAATTGACTTGGGCTTATCCCCATTGCGCCTCACCTGAAAGTTTCCTAAATAATTTTGATGGTGATACGGACTTATAAATAGTTTAAAAACGTTGATTGTTAATTTAACCCATGTTAGTTGATTTCCACCCCTGGGAATGTGATTGAATCTATGGTACAGTACTTCACTGCGATTCACCTTGATGTCAAATAAGTCTGTGGATTTGCTTCAAATCTGGTTTGTCAGGAGATCTATATTATAGGCAGTCAAAAGTCTGCAACCAGCTAAGAGAACAACAGAAAATTGATTTTTCCCCAAGTTCGTAGGAAAAATTATGTTATAAACACTGATATTTACCTCACTTGTTAATAGCTATTTCGGTCGCGTTTTATTCCTCGAAGCAGTTGATAAACTGCTTTGGTGTTTCATGAATAGCCTGTGATCTACACTGACATATTTTGGATAACCAAATATGAAACAACAACATTGGGTACCTCTGAATGGAACACCCTTGATATCAGAGACTATGTGATATATTATTTCAAGTATTTATGTAGAATTTATACAATTGTCTTAGTTTGTTATGCCTTACTTCTGGAAATAGGTAAGGACAGGCCAACTATTGAAATTTAGATAGAACTTCACAGGTAAGTTCGTTTAATCTAATAATTTCAAGACGTTGGCCTGTCTTATGATATCACTTAGAAACTGGGTAGCTGTTGAAAGACTAAACGTTTTTCTCCAGTTTGAAGATATAATCATTTTTATTTTCATAAAAATATAAACCAAAACATTCTTCTTATAATATATTAAAAGCAGTGATAGCTTCCATCTATCAGTTTGCTTCTTTCAGAAGAGCTTTTGCAAATCTTCTAGGATTGTCGGCAATTGGCAATTGGTGAAAATTTGCGAAAGTCTTTGATTCTGCAGACCATCCAGCAGTCCTGATATTTTCTAGGGTGATCCCATTTTTATGTGCTGCAGATGTAGCAGCATGTCTCACGGAGTATGGCCCAAATGTTTTTGTGTCAACTCCTGCTTCTGCCAACGTGGATTTTATACATTTCGCAATTATTGTCGCTCTGGAAGCTGTTTGATGAGGGATTTTTGTTGTAAGGAAGAGGAATTCTTGTGATGATGATCTGATGCTTGCAGTCTCATTAATGCTGGGCAAATGTGTGCCTTGCCAAGAAAAATGGAAGATGTAGACATGGGTTTTCGTTCCCCGGTCTAGTAGTCTTTATATGATCAGGCACTAATATCTGAATACCATCCTGAGATAGAACTATATTATCGGCTCTTAATCTAGCTAATGTCTGTAGCTTGTGAGCGCATATTAATGCTACTAAAATCGCAGTTTTCTTTGAAAGTTCTAGTAAGGTAAGGTCCTCAATAAATTCTTTTATCTAGGAAGCTGAAAACCAAGTTAGTATCCCAGACTGAATTGTATATTGTATCTTCTCCTGGAGGGGCTTTACTCTGAAAATGTCTTTCAGAAAACGTCTGATATTAGGGCGGCTTCCTACTTCAAATTTAAGAATTAAAATGATAAAGCTGAGCGTAAGGAATTAAATGAACCATAATTTAATTTTCCTTGCTTTTGCAAGTAAGATAAGAATATCCTTTTCTGTAGCTTCAAATAAGTCAATTTTTGTCCTACTGCCGAATTCCCACTACTTTCTATAAGCAGTCTCGTACTGCTTGTGGGTTGAATCCGCTAGCGAGTTAAGGATAGTTGGTACAGCTTCCTCTGGGTTTCCCTTCTTTAGCAACGCTTGTCACATAACAATCCTGCCTCCAGGAAAATGCTGTGTAGATTTGTTAATCTGAAATGAAAAAGTTATCCTTAGGCAGTGAGAGTATGGGCTCCTTAGTCAAAAGTTTTTCCATATTGTATACCAAGGTTGGTTAACTCATCTAGGAACTACCACAATTCCTAAGTCCTTGTCAGAGATAATTTTATCAAGTACTCTCAAAATTAGACAAAAGGGAGAAAATGCATGGAAGAAGAAGTTGCTCCAGGACACTGTAGAGGCATCTACTGCACAACAATTTGGATCAGGAAACCTTGAAATATATCTCTTGCATTTGTTGTTTATATAGGAAAAAAACAAATTGATTTCCGGGTGGCCAAGGGCGTTAGTATAGTAGTTATCTGCTTCCAAGTTTTCCTTACTAGGTGTATACGAAGCCTGAATCCAAATGTCTCTTTCTTCACACCACTGCCAAATTTCCATAGCAATATTTGTTAATTCTGAGAATTTCACACTACCCATGCGGTTGATATAAGCAATGGCAGTGGTGTTGTCTACGCGCAAAAGAACATTCTTAGATTTGGCATTTGGAATTAGACTTTTAAGTGCAAGTAAAATTGTTTTCAATTTAAATGTGTTTAGACTTATCCTCAAGTTACCACCATCCATGGGTGGAGCTATTGTTCATGACTGCCCCCAACCTGAAAGACTAGAGCCACCAAAAAATATCTTGTGCAAGATTTTTGGGCAAGTTCACTAATGAATTATAATTATCATTGTCAGGGCCGGTCCAATAGGTATTTTATGCCGAGGCAAAGTTCAATTTTGGCGCCCCCCTTCTCAAATTGATTTGTCAGAATGATTCAATATGATAAACAGATCAATATGATAAACAATGAATTTTAGGCTATCGCTTAGAGAGTAAGACAAAAAAAGTAACTTCATTTTTTTTAGAAGCGTATATCATACGTTTACTTATTACATGAGGTCTGTTCTCACAGAAATCACAAACCAGTCGCAGTGTTTTTGATTGGTGCAAATCGCCAGAAACTAGTTTTCTGATAGTTTATAACCCATGAAATTCGCTCTGATAGGTATGTGATGTCTGTGAGAACAGATCTATATTGTAGATATAAAAAAAAAATAGATATAGGTACAGGGTGTCCGTAAAATACCTCTCCACTATGTAGTCGGGGACCCTTCAAGGAACCCCAGAAAAATAATTTAAAAAATCTGGTGGCATTCTTAAGAAAGTTATTAGCATTTTAATGTTTATTAAAATCGGCAACTCTGAAAATATCCCGTTGACAATTTGTCACAGAATTAAATTAAATACCTATGTAATTACCAGTAGAAATATAACTAGTGCATAAAATATTTCCGGAAATTTTTGAAAATTTTGTCTGAAGCCAATTTTTTGACAAAATCATGAGTGCTATGCACGAATGGTTTTGTTTAAAAAAATTGACTAAAAACCAAATTTTTAAAAATTTCCCTTAGGAAATATTTTATGCACGTGTTATATTTTGATAGGAAATTTCCCGAGTTTGAAGTTTATTTATTATAAGTTGTGGCGAATATTTTAATTATGATGATGTGTTCTGTGATGGTGATTGTTATTGATATTTCCCATTTAAATTGCGTTTGTCAAAAAATATACACTTTGTCAGATTTCTGACATCAATGCATTTTGAATGGAAAAGCTGGTCTCAATGCCAAAAATGATAACCTAAAGGTGGGTTTCCGACAGACGCCGCGCGGCATTGTCGCATTGGAAATTGCACCCGGAAATATCCCTCTCACCAGGGATATTTCCACTTGTCACTTTTTGAAAATTACGAGGTAAATTTCCAGTTAAATATGCACAAGGGAAATTTCCTGGAAAATTCGAAGGTGACTGAAAAATGTTGTCAGATCAATTTTTCCTGTTGTAATTTAGAGATTTTTCAATTTTCATAATGCGTTTTAAAGGTGAACAACAAATTTTTTAAAACTAATATGTAATGAATCAACAAAAGATACCTAACAATTTTTACAAAATATTGCAATTTGAAAGAAAAATCAAAAATAAGGAAGTTGAATTTCCACATTTACCACTTCATATTTCCAAGAATGGTCAAGAAGGATTTTTTAAATTATTTTTCCAGGGTTCCACTGGAGAGCTTTTACGCTATTTTCCGGACACCCTGTATAATATGTATTTTTCAAATTAACTAAACACAAAATAGTTTTCCAAAACTAATTAAATTATCAACACTAAAAATGAACCAGTCTGGCTTTACGTCTTGCAAAGTCAGAGATGAGTTCGTCGATAGGTTTATTCTCACAGAAATCACAAACCAGTCGGAGGGAATTTCATTGGTTGAGAATAGTCATAAAACTGGTTGTTGGAGATTTGCGCCAATCAAAAACGGTCTGACTGGTTTGTGATTCCTGTGAGAACAGACCTACTATAATCTACACCATCTAACATCGGGATCGAGTGTGTTCAATGGTCGAAGGTTATAACATTTTCAATTCTGAGAACGTAAGTCCATTCAATCTGTTTTGAGACAAAGAGGATCGAAAGTGCCTTGATGAGCAGTGACAAGTGACAGTGGTGATTCGTAAATTAACTATTACCGGACAATGTTCTTGGATCTTTTATTAATCTCCCTATCATCCTTGTTATGTAGAACTTTTTTTTTTTTTATTTAACTTGTTCACTCGAAATAAATTTGTTGTCAATTTGGCGCCCCTAATTGTGGCGCCCTAGGCGGTTGCCTGTGCCTAAATCCGGCTCTGATCATTGTTCCTCATTAGTGATAAGGTTTTAAATCTTTCAAATTCCCTTCTATAGAGCCAGCCATATTTAACGGCTGGGCAAGATGCTACAAGGGCTCCAAGACAAGAACACTAGCAAAAAATCTAATGGAAAGATTTTTTGTTATCAGCAATTGAACTAATAAATTGGAGATCTTTGCTCTCTTTCCGCCCGTGAGTGAAATTTACATAATAATGGAATCAAATGAAAATCCAAGACAGACGCACGTTTTGGGGATCTAATTTAGATTTTTCATGACATTAAATCCAATTGATTCCAAAAATTGGCATGCTTTATGTGCATGTCGTGAACAAATTTGTGGGTCTTTATGAACTATTAAAATAAACTATGCATGTGATGCCCCCGGAGCGTAGCCAGGATACTATAGGCTTAGATATTTTTGTAAAGGCATAAGGGGCAGATGAAAGACCGAATGGTAAGGAATTGTATTGGTATATAGATCTTCTTGTCAAATGTAAAGCTGAGAAATGCCTGTGGTCACTAGCAGTTGGTATGCTATCCTTCCTTAAAGTCGATAGTACACATGTTACATGTTGGGCTGAAGTATTTTAGGAACTTATCGATAATCATTTTAAAATGGATTCGTTCTAAGTATGAATATAGAGTTTTTAAATTCAAGATAAATCTCGGATTTTTACCTGGTTTAATATTTAAGATAAGAAGGGAGACAAGTAAGGGTTAATGCAGGGCTTAATTTCCTCTAAACACCTGATTGTGAAATTTGCTACGATGGCTTTATTAATTGTTCTCATGAATATACTACAATTCTAATTGTTGCAGCAGTCATGTGAAGCATTAAAATTTCAGTATACTCATAAGAACAATAAATAAAGCCATCGTACCAAACTTCAGCGCTTTGCGACAATTTTCATTTTTTTTTCACTTTTTGAAAAATTACGCGCGACTTGTTCAAGCCAATAAGTCATTGAGTACCTACCTAATCAACAAAAAAAAAATCGCTGGGGCATTATAAGAGGAATAGATGGGCTGCATATTGTCGAAAACTCTCACCAAATATTTGGCCCCGTTTAGAAATTACAGTGAATGCAAGTAGGGGTAGTTTTCGATGCAATTTACAACTTCCTCGCACATTAGGCAAGTCCGTGCTCGTTTAATTTTCAAGCAAAAAATTCGAACAAAAAAGCATTGGAGAGTTATTTCATTACAATAATGTGGTCTTTGAAAAATTGAAATGGGATTATGCATTCGGCCGCTGCTGCATGAAATGCGCGCAAACAGGCGAAACGCGGATTCAGTGATCTTGAACAAAAACATGCTACTATTCAAGACGCTGTAAAAAAAAGACTATAGAAGACAAAGGGGTGCTGTCCCGGATATATAGCAAAAAACTTCAGCTACAACAAGCTTTTGAAACTTTTTGTTATTGGACCATCCGTTTGAGCAGCGTTCTTCATAAACCGCAAATTACCCCTAAAAACCAAACCTAACTAAAAAGTACAAGGTCGCAAACTTAATATGTTATTTAGCATATTAAAATGGACCGATCCCCCCCAAAAAATGTTAACTTCTAATTATGTTGAGGTAAACCCTCTTTTCAGATCCCTGTTTCTTGGACTATGAGGTGACTAACAGAAACGGCGAGAACCTTTTTTAAAAAGTATTTTTATTTGATGCCTACAGCTGTACGTTTATTCTGTAGACCAACTAGCTCGTAAAAACGCAATTACAGTTAAGCAGAAGCGGATGGGTTAGTAGTTAGTGGTTTGGCGTCTCGTATGCACAGAGTGAGTTTACGTGGCATTATTCGGAGTTAGGAAGCTAGTCTATTTCCTAAATGTAGGTCTGATATTTAAATAGAGTAGGTATATTTCGTTGAATATTACCAAAGAGGTACCCACTTACCTTTCTCTTGCCCATAGCAACGAAACGTTATTTTTTTCCCAAAAAGACGCTCAAAAATTGGTATAAAATAAGTTTTTAAGTTAAAAGTCTCTACATGTAGTTTGTTTCGAACAGATCTAAAATCTTAAAAAAGAAGTAAGAATTAGTAATTCATAATCCTTCAAATGTTTATCAAAAAGTATTTGAAAATGATTACCTATTTCATGAGCCTATAAGTAATTGTAATTATTGTAAATTTTGTAAAAAGGATAGTATTACTTATCTCATATCATTTCATGTATATTATTATGCAGCCTGCATAGCATTGCTCAACCTTTTTATATGGGATGTAAGTACGTAATAGTATGTAATATGATGTATTTCGTTGGAGTAATATAAGTCTTGATATAATTTGTTAATAATTTTAAAATATTTAGAATTATAAATTTAATAATTATTGTAAAGTTTTAATAATGCGTATTATGTAATTCATCTCACTACTGAAATAAAACAAGATTTTTAATAATCTCAAACTGTATTAACAGAATTTTTTTAGTAATATTAAATTGTAAACAGTGATATAATGTTAACTAAGAATAAAATAAATATTTTATTATATATAATATTCTTGGAATTATTTTTTTTTTTGTAAATAATAAATCTATAAAGTCTTTGTTATAGTGTTTTGACTCGATGAAAATGACATTTTTGATAGGCTGTGTACATCCTGAAACAAAACAGAACTTAGTTTTTTTCACATTTACAACATTTTAAACGAGTATACACCTTTTCTATTGTGTGTGGTACCAAATTTGGATTTCTAGCCACTACTAGTTCTAATCTATCTCCAGCAGAGGCTATCAATGGCACGGTCAAGCAACAATCAAAATCCACCGTTTTGGTATCGTTGACCTAAAAATTAAATCTCGCATTGCAAAATCTAACAGAAACAATCCAAACATACCTGTATTATCCTGTCATAAGGTCTTAACAATCCTACAATATCCGCAGGACCACCTTTCCTGATTCTGTTGATATAAACACCCTTTACGTACAAACCATCGCTCACACTAAACCCATAATCATCATAAATGGAATCCTAAAATGAGACATTTGTCAAATTAGGGGCCACTACAAATTCAAATTTATGTATGGGGATCTTCATGAACCGTTAAGGCGACAGAGTAATTTATCGCTTAGCTATAAAGTATTTTAATAATTCATCGGAAAAATATTCACAACCTTACCTTATAAAGTGTTACATGATATATTTCCTTTTCCAACATATTTTCAGTACTGGCAGAGCCAGCGAGTCTCTCAATTGTTCCACTTGAGTGATTGTATTGCCTATAAAAACATGTCCAGTATTTTTTAAAATAAAAATTATAAAACTTACAACATCGTATTGCCAAAATTATAATTAGGCAAAGGTAGAGGACTGGGACAAAACATTTCCTCTGTGTCCGAATAATATTGAAGCTCGGAATTTCGTTTTCTGTTTTTTGTTAAAGTTAAATCTTTGTCGTGGTCATGGATTTGGTCTTGATAAGACAGTGGCTCGCTCAGAACGCTTTCAATATCCTTAATTTCCGAAGCATTTTCGTTATGTGTATATCCAGTATTGCTGCTGTCCCAACTATGGATGGCACTATCTACGCTCATAAGTCCGGGACTTGAATAGCTGCATCTGGGCTCTTCTAGAACTGTTGGATCTGGAAATTAGGCATTTTAAGACATTCATTTATTCTAATTAGAATACTTGCCATTTTTTATATTTCTTGCAATTTTCAACTGAACTCTGTCGCCTGAAGTTTGTAACAACCGTATGGCTTCTGATAGAGGTCTTTGGTCCAAACTTTCTCCATTTATGGCTAAAATTCGATCGCCTACATGTAGAGCTCCTGTTTTTTCTGCCAAGCCACCTAGAATTAATGTCAGTTTAAAATTAAATTAAATATAAACGATTCCATGAACTGCAGCCAGATTCGTACAAGAAGGCTTATAAAATAAAACTAGGCAACCTCAAAAGTCGTTAATATTGTACAGAGAACTAAATTGCGCCATAAATTTACTCGATACATTTTGCCGTATACGAAAGCGAATAGCTTCTGGGAGGAACATAACCAATTTTGGCTTAACATTTTATCATTTGAGGTCGTAACTTTTCCATGAAGACGAAAAACGAAGTAGGAGTTGCTCACCAAGGTAATTGATGTGTTTGAGCATTTCGCATCAGAAACTGCAACAGCAGACTGAATTACAATAGAACTATTGGATCAGTGGCGCAGAGAAAAATAACAAAGTAGACGGAAGCTGAAACTGCTCATATCAGAAAAAGTTTAAAAGAAAGCGAATCTGTGTTTTTTCCTATATTTTGTTCTGCAAGGCCCCCCCAGACAAAATTTCTGGCTGCGCCAGTGTATTGGATGTTTTCTGGATAGTTGGAACCTAGAACACATGCCTAGGCGAAGCCATACAGACGTGGCTGACATGAACTAGACGCCCAACGGATATAAATTATCAGCTTATGATTAGAGGGTCATTATTATACACATTGTGGATAGCGGTTTATCTCATGAGACTATTCTTGCAAAATTAAATTAACTTTATTCAAGACAATGACTCAATCACGTCGAAACTATCTCTATTGTACTACACGCGTTGTTTAACTACAATCGAGCATAACTAGTCAGAAAACTAAATCTAAACTCACTATCTTACTATCGGCTCGCGTTCCACTAATTATTCCATTAGCGAATTTTCTAATCATCAGGCAGTTTTGCAAGATTCTAGATTCTGCACAATTACCCCAACATACAAAGTAGGGGAATTATGCCTATGATGGCCCACTTCCTATGATGGCCCCTCCGTCGTATTTTTAAGTTTCCCGCGATTTTCGTTTAGCCGGCCATTTTAAAACGTCATCTAACTTCCTTTTAGAGCTGCACATGCAGTATGAAACGGGCGTCGGCCATAGGAAGGTGTCAGTGTGTGAAAATAGAAAAAGGTAGGTCCTGATCTAATAAGTCTGTTGAAAATATTAGTGAATATTTATCTTAAAACAAGTAATTTAGAATTGGATTTTATATCAAATGTTCGCGTGTGTATCGTGTTACAGTTTTTGTATCGAAATTGAGGTTAGAGTGAACATAACATGTGATATGACATTTAAGCAATCTATATGCACTTATGCCTATGATGGCCCCATGTATTCTCTCCTTTGATGGACCAGGGGGCCATCATAGGAATAACATATTGCTATGTAATTTATATGTAAGACAGTGGGTAATACATTTTGCTTTATTGCTTTAAGATATGACCACCAAAAGACAGCAATGGGATGAAGTGGACATGGAACAAGCCATCAGGAATGTACAGGCAGGAGAAATGGGGTATAAGTTGGCAGCTCAAACATTTAACGTACCCAAAACCACGTTAAGGAGAAGATTGGCCACGAATAAAGGTGCTCTCAAACAGGGACTTGGAGGAAAACGAGCCACTTTTTCCAAAGAAATTGAACAAGAAATTGTTGATCACATCATAGACATGGAATCACGATTTTTTGGTCTTACCAGCACAGATTTACGTAAGTTGGTCTACGAAGTAGCGGAAAGAAATGGCATTGGACACAATTTCAACAAGGAACGCAAAATGGCTGGGTGGAAATGGGTTAAATGTTTTTTAAGACGCAATCCCCGCATATCTTTAAGAAATCCCGAAAGTACTTCGTTAGCTAGGGCTCAGGCTTTTAACAAACCCAACATTCTGGCATATTTCAAGTCATTAGCGTCTATTTGGAACAAACACCAATTTCTCCCGGAGAACATATACAATATGGATGAGTCTGGCTTGACCACAGTCCAGAAGAAGTCGCAAAAAATATATGCCTGTAAAGGTCGCAAACAAGTTGGGGCACTCAGCAGTGCAGAACGTGGTCAGCATGTTACTGTCGTTTGTTCAATTAATGCCATTGGCTCTTACGTTCCTCCTGTGATAATTTTTCCACGTCAAAGAATGAAAGACGAGCTAATGAATGGTGCTCCACCGGGATGCATTTCGTTTGTACAGGAGAAAGGCTGGATGACCTCCGAACTTTTCTGCAAATGGCTCAAACATTTTGTCAGATACACGAAAGCGTCTCTAGAAAATAAGGTTCTGTTACTATTAGATGGTCATAGTAGTCATAAAAGCCTCGAAGCGTTGCAGTACGCAAAACAAAACGGAATTGTAATATTTTGCTTTCCTGCCCACTGTTCCCATCATGTCCAGCCCCTCGACGTGGGATTTTTTCGACCCTTGCAAACTTATTACGGACAAGAAATTCAACTCTGGTTGCGACAGAATCCTGGCAAAACTGTAACGCAGTTCCAAATAGCAACTTTATTTAGTCGTGCCTATTTAAAAAGCGCCATACCCACAAATGCTATCAACTCCTTCAGGAAAACAGGAATACATCCCTTTAACCCGGAGGTTTTCGAAGATTGGCAGTTTTCACCATCTTTAACAACCGATAAACCTCAAATAACTCAAGAAGATGTCCTTGAACCTGAAAAAATTATTCCATTGCCCAAAAATGTCAAATTACCTTCCAATCAAGGTAACATTGATAAAGACTTTCCATCTTATCAAGAGGAAAATATTATGGTTCAATTGGACAGTTCTGTGTCTTTGCCAGGACCTTCCACTACACAAACTCTCACTAAATCCCCGGTTCTCAATGTATCATCCGAATCAGCTCTTAACATATCGGTCAAAGATATTTGTCCTCCACCTTCAGTCGCTGATATTCAGTCAATGCAACGGAGGGTTAGAAAACGTGGAAAAACAGGAACGTTGAATTCTACACCAGAACTTGATGAGCTCAAAGCAACAGCTGCTCAAAAGGCAGTCAAATTAAGAAAAACTTGTGCAAGAGCAGCGAAACGACAAGTTTTCGTAAATAAGAGGGATCTTGCAAGTGACGACAGTGATGAGGAAAATCAAGCGGTTGTTGACAAATATCTGGAACAAGAAAATTCGGACGACGCCGCATGCCTCTATTGTAATGAACTTTATTCACAATCAAAATCTAGGGAAAAGTGGATTCAGTGTCAAGTCTGTAGCTCTTGGTGCCACAATGATTGTGCGGGAGTTAGCCCTAGGTGCAAGTTGTTTGTTTGTGAACTGTGTCAATGAATGCCTAAAGTAGAATTCATGTTATTCTCCTGTTTGTATTGTTTACTTTTGTGGTTTTTCTATTTTATTTTTTTCTGAGAACTATGTACAATTTATTTTGCTCTAGTCTTTATTTTGGGGTTTGTGTTAAAGAATGTGATCTCTTAGTTTTTTGGTATAAAAGTTTTTCAATAAAATATTAGAAACAAAATGTTCTCTCATTATTTCTCATAAATATTCTCAGTGGTCCAACATAGGAACACTCCGGGTCCATCAAAGGAATGTATGCTCCTATGATGGACCCCTCAAATTGATTTTTAAAAATGACCGTCAAAAAGTAATTTATGAAACTAATCAAGAATACAATGCAGGTTTTGAAAGCCCTTATCAAGACCCGTAAAATGAACTGAAGTGATCCACAAAAAAATCATAAATATAAAAATTATGAGGCATTATTCTTAAGGGGGCCATCATCGGCATACTTCCCCTAGGTGTTTTTTCTGTAAAAGACCACTTTTCTACGTGAACAACCTTTAGCTTGACTTTCGCAGAAATTTGAATCGGTTTTCACTGTGGCTGCGATACTAGGGTATTCAATGGCTGCCGTGTCCTATCTGTCGAATCTCATTTCAGCCACGTAAGTAAAGCTTCATTTTCAAAGAATGGTGGTCTACCAAACATTATATCTACGGAAACCAGTACTCTTCAAGTCAACGGCATCGATTTATAGGCCAGAAGGAAGAGGGGCCTCAGTTCATGCCAATTTCCATGGTGCTCATCCACAAACATCTAGAGATATTGTTTGATGGTCCGATTATGCTTCTCAACCACTTTCTCGTCCTACGATACTGTCACAGCTCTGGGTTGCGTGACAGAAATCTTGGGTCCGTTTATTCCAAAATCAGAGTCCAATTAACACAACAATAATTTATTCCATGTTACCATACACTCTGACATTAATTACTCCACTAATTAACTCTTTACAACTCTCAACAATAATCACTATCTAAATCATATCACAGTCAAACTTAAAAAATACTAATAATACCGTCCTTTATATATCCGCAATCTTTTCGTGTAGAATCCAAAATAAACGCGATAATCTTTTTGCACAGTATTTTCTAGATTTCAAGTTAGATTCTGTATTGTATACGGGGAAGGCGCCACACTGCCCTCTTCTTAAGGTTGATCATCCCGATCAACTTCACGCCCATGATATTTCGTCAATCTGTCCAGATGTACAACTTTCATCTTACTCCTGCAGCCGAATTACAATTTCACTAGTCGACACGAGTCGAGCGTCTCATATAGGCAACAACAACGGTATTTCTGAGTCGCATCCTTCGACTTCGAGCAATTACAATCTCCATCCTGGTGTTGCGCTGGACTAGATCGATAAAACCAAATCATTGATCCTCTTGATTATTCTGTAAGGTCCTTCCCATTCTGAAGACAATTTCGGCGACAATCCTTTCTTTCTTGTTGGATTATACAGCCAAACTAAATAACTTTTTTGAAATCTGGCTGGATTGGCTTTCAAGTCGTATCTGGTCTTCAT